CTAAGGAGGAAGGATTGCTTGAGCCTAGGAGTTAGAGGCTACAGTGAGCCATGATGGTACCACTACTTCATTCAGGACAACAGAGTGAGACCCTGACTCAAAATAATAATTTACATTTAATACAATGACTGATGTTAAGACTTCAATCTATCATTTTATTATTTGATTTATGTTGTTTCCCAGTTGGTTCTTTTTTTTTTTACTTGTTTCTCCTTTCCTGCCTTTGGTGTGGGTTTCTGAAATATCTGTTAGATTTCATTTTAATTTATTTACCTTATATCTGTATAGTTTTAGTAGTTGCTCTAGGGATTATATGTACTTATCACAGTCTACTATCAATATTTATTGATAGTACTAGTATCAACATTTATTACTGCAAGTAAAAAGTAGAGATCTTAACACCATTTAGGTCTCTTTAACCTCTTTCACTTTACAATATAGTTGTCTTAAATATTACCTCTAGCCAGGAGCGGCCACTGCACTCCAGTCTGGGTGACAGAGTGAGACTCCAACTCAAAATATATATATATATATAACCTCTACGTACACTGAAAAGCACATTAAACAACGCAATCATTTTTGCCTTCAAATACCACTTTTTAAAACTCAGTAGTCCATTACATTTATTATTATTTATTTATATTATATTTATCTATTTACTCTTTTCAATGCTTTTTAAAATTTCAAATCCCTTCCTTAACGTCTGAAGAAATTCCCTTAGCAATTATTTTAAAGCAGGTCTGCTGGGTTTTCCTTGACATGGCATTCTGGGTTGATAGTTCTTGACAGTTATTTTTTTCTCCGAATTTCCTTTTGTACTTCATGATATCTGATGGGAAATCTATCATACTTCTTCTTGTTCCCCTATAGGAAATGTGCCATTTTTCTCTAGCTGTTTTCAATATTTTTCTGTCTTTAGTTTTCAGAAATTTTATTATGATGTATCTAGGTAATTCCTGAAACAAATGTAAAAAATAGGAAATCTCAGCAAAGAAACAGAAGATATTTATTTATTTATTTTGAGTTGGAGTCTCACGCTGTCGCCCAGACCGGAGTGCAGTGGCCGCTCCCGGCCACCGCAGCCTCGACCTGCTGGGCTCCGGCGATCCTTCCCCTCAGCCTTCCAAGTACCTGGAACTACATGCAGGTGCTACCACGCCCGGGGAATTTTTGATTTATTGTAGAGATGAGGTCTCACCAAGTTGCCCAGGCGGGTCTCGAACCCGTGGGCTCAGGCAATCCACTCACCTCAGCCTCCCAAGACGGGATTACAGCCTGAGCCACCGAGCCCGGCTCAGAAGATATTTTAAAAGAACCAAATAGAAATTTTAAAATTGAAAAATAACAATAAGCAATACAAAAAACTCACTAGATGAACTCAATAGCAAAATGGGTTAACAGAGGAAAAAAGCCAGTAAAATTGAACATAGATCAATAGAAATTAACCTATCTGAAAAACAGCCACTGTGGAGGTCTAGTCTTTGTAGAGTAGGGCCTGGGGGGGGAGGGAATGAGAAAAGAAAGACAAAGAACAGTGGGATTGGGAGGTCTCTCTCCTCAATAGCAAGTTTATTTTTATAGTATGTTTTTTATATAGGGCAAAACTATATAAACAAGAAATATCTTAATGTTAGCATCAGTTGGGAAGAAGGTTAATGCTTGTGACTTTTTTTGGCGAGCTTATTGCCAAAAAAGCAGTAATATCTTTGTTTTTTGAGGGTCTAAGTAACACTACTAACATCTGTGTTTTTTGAAGTAGTAAGCAAAATTATTATTGAACCAGGCTACATCCAGCCTACGCAGACTAGAGGTCACACCACCTGAATTCTACTAAATCACCATTCCCAGGGGAGACATGGGAGGAAGGAGATACTGGCCAAGCTCTTGTTGGAGCCAGGCCAGGAACACAAGGACCTTGTCAAGCTTGTGTTTTTTGTAAGACATAAGGACCTTGTCAGCGTATGCCTTTTGTCTCCTTCAAGCAACAAAAAGGATTTTTTAGAAAGTGAATAGAAGTCGGGCTTGGTGGCTCAGCCTGTAATCCTGCACCTTTGGGAGACTGAGGTGAGTGGATTGCCTGAGCCCGCGGGTTCGAGACCCGCCTGGGCAGCGAGACT